GGCACGCTCCTCGAACAACTGAAATGTTACACAGAGCTGTCGGAGGGGGCCTCCTGAAAATGAGACGGCTGCAACCTTCCCCCTCCACTGGAAATCGGAGATATCCTACTGACACGGCAGGGAACCTCCGGGGCACAACTCCTGTCTGACCAGTTCTACAGCAGCATTTAAAAAAAAAAAAACCCAAACCAAAACAAAAAAAGCCCCACGTACTGGATTTGTCACAAAGCCACAGATAGAAAAAAAGAGCAGGAAATGCGCTTGCACCATGTTAAAATATAACTTTAACATAGCTCAGTCCCCAGTAAAGCACCGTTCCGAAGCCGGCCTCATGCAGCAGCCGAGACCCTCTGCTCCCGACCCCGCGCTACTCACTCTGCTGCTTCTCTTTCCAGCAGTTATTTCGGAGGTTTGCGATATAGTCGTCCTCCACGCTCCTCTCGACGTTTTTCAGGTTCGTGCCCGTGTATTCATCTGCAAAGGTCTCCGATACGTAGTAGACGACTTTCAAGTGCTCTGTCACTCTCTTGTGTATGTGACCCACAGACCTAATTCAGGGAGAAGAGTCAGAACAGTGTAGGACACGCTTCGGGGGCAGAGCAAAAAGCTCCCGGCTCTTTCTAATGCACGCCACGCCACGATACCAAACCGCTGAAAACATACATCACTCCTATGCATCCAGAGACGTGCAGGTTTGGAAAGGAGAAGCATTTCTGGTGGAAACGAAACGCCAACACGGGGAGAACACCTGCCAGGCCTCTAGCTAGGTGGGCAGAGCTCTGAACACAGACAAAACTCTCAGACAGATTGCCCAAGCACTAAACCCACTTAAAATAAAGCGTTCGCTAGAATTTTCAGCAGTAATTAGGTCTCTGCGATTTCCTCGCTGACGACACCATCGTCTGGTTTTGGCGGCGAGCCCCAGGGATGGTGACAAAGCTCGGAGGCTGATGCTGGTGGGGTGCAGGGTGAGAGCAGCCCGCGAGGCAGAAGAGAGGAGCACGGCAGCGCCGAGGCGCGGGCAGAGCAGGGGCTGGCTGTCACAGCTCCCCCGCGCCTCACCCTTGCTCAGCAAGGCTGCCCGGCGGCCGAACCCAGTCCCCTCTGCTGCGATGCTAACCCCAAGAGCGTCAGCTTCCTCTACCACATCACATGCTGCAACCAACGCTGTTGCGGCAAGAACAAAATTAAGAGCCGCTCTGCCCCCGAGCCTGCACCGACTAGTACAGGGAGCACTTTCTAGAAGGAAATCTTCTTACCCTAACCCCCGTGGATTTGCATTTCAGAGCCCTGCGCTTATTTTCCCCGACGCTCCAGCAAACCTAGAGATACTCTCACTAGGGTGTGTTTAACACAGGGCCTGTGCCCAAATGCTGGATTCATCAGGAACAGCCCCACCTGGAGACGTGCCCAAAGTCTCCCCTAGTAAATACCAGCTGGCTGCTGCATTAAAAGCGAACCTGATTCTTAAGCCAGGTATAATATAATAATATATATATATGTATATATCTCCGGCTCGCCCTTCAGTCTGTTATCGGGGTTTACGGGAGCGATTCAGAGACTCCTGCACGTTTCATCAAGGTCCAGCACTCAGGGACGAGCGACGGGTAGCTGGATAGACTGAACATGACAAAAAGCTCTCCTGGCATTTCTCGAGACAAAGGCTAACGCATCTCCGGCAGCGCCTGCTGGCAGAGGGGCAGTCTGGAAGAAGCTCAGCCCACTGTTTTACCTGTCAAGACAGAGCCCTCAGCTCTCCCAAAGTTCATATTCCTCTTCTGTATAAAGACAAACCGCAGAGGCTACAAAGCGCGCCCTCAAAAGAGGAGTGTTGAAGCTCGCAGAGCTTCAGCAGCCTGCTTGAGTGTAAAGCATGAAAATAAGGGCAGGACCTGGCGCAAGAAACCTGCCACCTGAAGTCAGACATGCAATTAAGTCAGGCAAATTGGATGAGGTGTTATTGAAGAGCGGGGTGGCACAGACAGGCCCCCAACTAGACAGGTCTTTTGGCAGAAAGCTAGTTTTTGGAAGAGATTTACAAAGGCAACGGAGCGAGAAATGGGTTCCTTAGGACTCTGCCTTTCTCAGCGACAGCTTCACTACCAAGACGTGGCACTAAAATCTCCGCCTGCCATTAAAACCTCGCCGGGTTCAAAAGCTTCTCGCCTCCAGCTCACCGAGTTCAGTGCGGAGAGCTCCAGCTTCCTGCCAAGGGACAGGCCAGCGCAGCATTTCCCTTTACACCAGGCAGCAAAAGGGGCCTGGCTGCCTGCGCGAGCGAGCGAGCAGCACCGCCTGCCGGCACGGCACGCCTCTTGCTCCCAAGATAATTTCATTTCAAGTGCCTTGGTCACTCGGGAAGGATGACGGAGGACTGGAACAGCTCGTTTGCCCCTCTTGTCCAAATCCAAACTCGGAAACTGGTTTGGTTGCTGCTACCCCAGCACGCGGAGACAGGGACAGCACAGGGAACGGGGAACCGAGCAGCGGAGAAACAGCTGGGGCTCAGGGATGGCTTTCCTCCGACGGCTGACAAGGCTGGAAGCAAATTCCTGCCCACTTACAAGCTGAATGTCTTTTCACCCCATAAACTGCCACTTCACCAGTATAAAACAAACCGGTATACCTATATAATGCTTAATTTTTATAGTCCTAATATCAACCGCAGAAATCACATCTCAACACTCTTGAGCCTCACGGAATAATTCTTAACTGCGCCCTCTCCAAAACCGCTCCACCTCTCGGTTCCAAGCACTAATGTCACAGTCTTTACCTAGGACCCGAAAACTAAGCTGGGTTTTATAGTATTTCACATCATTAGTGGCGAATGTTGTCACCTGTGAAACTAAGCAGGGCCCCCTGGCTGTAACCAAGTCTACCCTCTTTAAATACACGTAAGGAACTTCCACCAAAGATACATTAAGCCTTTGTCAAGAATGATGCAAGCAGCCAGAACTCAAGCCTGTTTTCCCATTCTTTGTTGGCACAGCAAAGTGAGTAAGAATAAAGATTCATTTCATTTGTCAGCCAAGCGAGCAGATCAGGGCACTTCCACAGCATCTAGAATGAAACAGCTTCACTTTCCCACAGTAAACGTCTGGCCATAGCTGTTTCGTGGCAAGATTAGAGTTCACGAACAGGGGATTTCTCCGGGAGTGTCTTTTACTCTACAGGAGTGTCTTTTATTCGTTCTTCTCCTCCTCTCTTGCGTTATACTAGGCATAAACTGAGGCTTTCACGAAGAACAGATCTGGCTTTTGTTTTTCACACCCCAATTTAACTCTACGTCTCAATTCATTCTGCATATGGGATCTCGGTGCTGGGCTACAGTCTCTCAAAGTCATTTCGTCTGTCCCTTTCTCGGACAGACTCACCCAGCTGTGGGTACGGGCTGCAGAAGGTCCCCGTCAAAGAACATCCCCCCTTAGGCAAGTGAGCACCCTCCAACCTTCCCCGCACCTTCCGTCTCAAGACCTGTTTGAGAACACCAGGCGGCCTTCACTGATGCGTGAGACATCTGGCAGCAAGAGCCACGGCGTGATGAGATAAAGCAAAAAGCAAAAAAAAAAAAGAAAAAGAAAAAAAAAAGAAAAGACAGGAAAAACAGAGAGCCTAGATCCCTATCCCGCCATGCCACCCTGCCCTCCAGAACCCACCCCCCTCCCCAGCTGGGTAAGTTTTAGATTAACAGGTACTAACGGCCTCTGGCTCAGACTGTAGGGTGGGCTGGAGACCATCATCTGGCTGAGAGCAGACACAATGATCAGGATGAGGATAGGCATCAGCTGGACGAACAACCCAAGGCCACCCTGAAGGAACAGAAACACACCGTGGAGCGCCATCTGTACGTAAGGATCCCATAGCATCGCCTTCCCTCCCTCCCAGCCCTTACACAACCTCCGTTCTCCTGCTTTTCGCAGGCGTTTGGCTTAGGAGGCACCCCAAAACAACTGGGGGGAACCCAGCAGCCCACAGTTCCCCTCCAGAAAGGGCAGCGTGACTCTGAAGGTCCAAACCCTTCTGCCCCTTCTCTGGACAAAGGCACTGGCAGGGGGAACCTTGTGAGTGAATTTCAAAAGCCTCATGCCCATATTTTGTTTTCCTAGAGCGTACGTGGTTTCTGTCCTGCTTGCGCTAACGAGCGGAACTGGTTTTAAGGAAAGCCTTCTCCCCTCTTCAGTGTCAGATGAAAGTAATTCCCCCTCTGCCTCACCTCCTGAGCTCCCTCCAGTTCCAGCAGAGTACACTTTCCCCCTTAAGCTTGAGAAAAAAATATTCAGGAAGTTCTTGTTTGTTTGCTTGCCTTTTTTTTTTTTTAAATATAATTGGCTATCCCCAGAAAACAGTAATCTTCAATATGTAACCCTGGTCTCTTAAATAGCAAGTCCCCCATTCTCACTTCTCTAGACCAGAGGGCTTGGAGTGCTGGAGATATACTTAGATTTTCTGTGATGGGAAAACATAAAAATAGCTCATGCTATAAAGTGTCTTCCTTGGTTAATGAAGCACCACAGATTAGAAACACCCCATCCTCAATACTGGAATAAAAGGGAGAATGAGTTCACGTTGGGAGGAGCCACGAGTACCCACATTATCTGAAAAGTGGATTTACCTTTTGAAATTACAGAATTAAATCAGAAAGGAAATGCTTATTCTGTGGTAAAGACAGGTACGCTTTACTGGTGCAATCTTATTTCAACGCAGCACTGAAGACACACCAGCGTTTTCCCCACTGGACAACAGCTATGAGAGTCCTGGGAGAACAACCACCAGTAAATTAAAAAGCAACTTGGTGTAAATTCTTGAAGGCAGCTCACTTCCCACGACTCCAGCTTTCTGTTCAGGGGGGTGGAAACAAGCAGGGCTGTTTCAGAAGACTGCCACGCCAACTAGCTCACGATTCACGTCTCAGAAAAACCTTTAGACTCCCAGCCCCCCGCCTGTTCTCCACTTACGTCACCCTGATGTTCTCGTCTGTCCTGCCTCTGATGGTAGGTATATCGCATCCGGCCGTTGCTGTATACGTGAACATTACCTATAGGCAAAAAGAGAACTGTTAACACAAAAGTCAGAGTGCGTAAGACGGTGCTGGCTGGCCAGGAAGGAAGCACAGAAAGTGGCCATGTTCCGTGTCAGCCTCACCAATAAAAAACATGGTAGGAAAAAGTAGACTGGGTGCTGACGAGCAAATTTTAACTTTGAACATTGTCAGAATGGGCTCAATCCGTTTCTTTAGTTCGGGCCAGACTCAGCAAAGATATAAGGACACAGAGATTGTAAAGGAATCCACGCTGCGCTCAGGCTTGGATCCGGTCTGCCGTTACCGGCACTCTCGGTTCAGCCTGCCTCACGCAGCCAGCAGCGTGCCAGCCAGCTCAGAGCTGGAAGGACGACGGCGCACCTGCCCGGCTGGGCTGCTGTCAGGCTGGAGCTGGGATGTCTCAGTGAAATGGTGACTTGACAGAGCCGGGCTATTCCCGAGATCCCTGCGTACGTCCCAGTGCACAAGGTGCATGGCCATGGTTTTGGTTAGCAGGCCACGTGGCCGAAGCTCCTGGCTCGAGCCACTCCATCGCGCTCTCTTGACAGAGATGGTTGTGGCTTTAGGGCGAAGCGGGTATGGGACTCCGCAGGAGACTGCGAGAAGAATTCGTATTAAAAAAAAAAATCTATTCATCACCTGAAGCCAACATTTACAAAATGAGCTACAGCCACAGCTGAAAAAGGAGTATTCCTAAGGCGTACCGAGCAGATATGTCTGAAGGCGAACTGGTTGCGGGCACAGAGATCCGTCTATAGGATTTTATCGGATCGTATGGAAATTCAGGTTGGAAGTGACCTCAGGAAGTCCAACCTCCTGCTCAAAGCAGGGTCAGCTAAGTAGAGAGAATATCTTGTACAGGCCTCCTCGCTTCTAATTGAATTTACTTCAGATTAAAACCAATACAAAAAGAAATAATTTAGGTAGTTTTTCCACCCTAAAAAAAAGAGAGCTCCTCCGTGTCCTGTTTTAAATGTCAAAACTCCAGCTGAAAAGGGAGATGGGCTGAGAAAGCGGTCCTGAATTCTCTTGGGACAGTGAGGAAAGGGAAACAAGACTGAGCTAAAATAGCAACCCTCTGTTTTTACGGGAGTAGCTTTACCTCTCTGCTCTGGCAGAACATGGACGCTGCAAAAGGCTTCAAGGTGCCTTTGCAAGCACTTGATGTTAGTGTGTGAATTCTTACATACCAGATAGGAGAGAGCTACCAGGGTAAATCTTCTCAATTGAAACAAAAATATTTATTTTTCCAAGTTGGTCCACAGAGGTCAAATAACCACTGCCTCCACCGCCAGTCAAATATGACTAGAGCAAATACAAGGGAGCCTTCTAAAATACCCTTATCCTTATATTAAATCTGTGTCTTTTTGATCAGAACTCATCAAGTGAGGGAAGGGTCACTTGTTTCTTCCCTGCTACCCAAACCATGATGAGCACCGTGGATAGACAGGATACAGATTTAATTTTCAACTCAAAAGGTTTAAATTCTGCTCTAGAAATAACACTTTCCTCTTTTTTTATGGGACACACTGGAGAGAAGGAAGCGGACGCTGATCTCGGAGAAACTGCTTCAGCTGCGTGGCAGAGCAGGTAGAGATCAGGAACAAGGCCCAGGCATTACCATAGTTTGTTCTGATGAGAAGATTTAACTTCCAAAACCACCGGGCAGAAAAGCCTTCTTCAAAATAGGATTATTTTTACAACTAGCCTTAAAAGAAGTAACTTTTTGTTCTAACATGCAATGTGGCCAGCAGGCAAACAAACACCTGAAGTTGGGAAGAACTCCAGCTCTGATGGTATTACCTGCTGGGTGCTGAGTTCTCCAAGTACCCATCTGAACAATTTAGAAATCTCTAGGTGTTTAGGTCATGTGTGAAGGAGAACTCTCTCTTATCAAACTCAGCAATCCTTGCACGGCCAAATAAATCGCTAGCACACTGTTGCTCTGTCAAAAGGATCGGGTCCCACGCGAGAGATTAAGGTTTAACGTGCTTACTAGAAGGAAAACCACCACCAAAAAACATGTTGAAGAGGTCCTCGGGGGAGATGTCTGCCTCAAACCCGCGGTGGAAGTCCGAGTGACTGTGTCCGTGCCGAGCAGGGTTGAGTTTCTCGTCTCCAAACTGGTCATATTGCTTCCTCTTCTCTGGGTTGCTCAATACCGCGTACGCGTTACCAATGGCTGAAATATTGACAATAAGGAAGCAATTAGCTTCTTTCTTCTGCAGATAATACATTTGGCCCTGCAAACTGCCAGGACTTGCCTTTCTCATGACACAAATGCGATTCCCAACTACCCACGTCTTTTCAACAGGCTACTCCAGCGGTGCAGCACTAGTACCTGGCACGCTTCTCTGGCAAACGTTGACAGGAGGAAACCACACCAAGAGACTCGATGAAAAAGGCCTTAATTAATTCAGATGAAGAAGTTATGATATGACTGGTATGAATTCGATATGTGTCCCTAGAGAAACCCTCTCAGATGAATGAAACCATGAACTGCGAAGGAAATACTGGTAGGAGAGCGGCTGCACATTTTACTTTAATTAAACTCGTTATTTCTTTTCAACAGCTAACACCCAAATCCTTCAGCTGTACGCAACTGTATAGGAAAATACAGTTTTAGTTGACAAATTTTATTCAAAAGTGGCATTAAGGGAATTCAACGTCACAGCCTAAAACCAGAACTGCAAAGAATTTAAATACAGGCTAGATCACTGAAAGAGACTTTAAAACCTCCCACAAGAGCTAGTAAGGAAACGTTGGCTAGAAGTTGTGTCTGTCAGCTATGAATTTCAAAATTGCCAGATGCCAGAAGTAAGGTGCATAATCACCAGGACTGTTAACCAGTGCCCGTGACAGTGGAAATGTACTGGAACCCAACCCCCACCAGTTCCCCAGGTCACTCCCCTTCCAACCTCAGCACGTTCGAGCCTTTCTACCAGAACGCCTGCCTGCCGCCCTCCTATTTCCGTACTTCTCTCTCGACACATTCCAGCTTACCACTTCCCCTCCGTACCAGCCTACGCAAGAGCCTCCCTACGTGACTGCAGAGCCTATCCTCTCTCCTCCCTGTGTCGCAAGGAGGCAAAAATGTTCATGGCAGGAGTTGCTTGGCGTATAAAAGGCAGAAGTGATAGAAAAGGCAGACACATGCCCTTTGGAGGAGATTAACTCCAAGATTCAACATTTTCCCAGTAGTCAGATCAAGGTGTACGGTTTCTTCTCAGAGCAGAGATTTGGAGCATGGGGGATGTAATGTCAACACACTTTTTCTCCTTCTCGGTTATAATTAGTGCACACAGAGCAAACGTTTCTACGACCAGGCAAGGAAGCCGGACAACAAGGACAGCCTCTCGGCATATTAGCTGCTTCTTTCAAACTGTGCGCTGAAGCAACGCAAATGGAGCAGCTGAGGGTTTTGTTCGTTGTCTGACTTTCTGCTGACAAAGCCCAATAAACGCCTCATTCCAAATCAGGATTTTAGCTCAAAGTAGCCAGGTTCAACTCCTTTTCCAACGTCAGCCAAAGGCAGCGATGCCAATCTGCTACCAGACAGACTGCAGCCAACCGCACCTATAGACTGAAACAAGGTCTCAGGACTAGACGTAACGCTTTATCAGCTGTCACTGGGAAGACGAATGCCAAGACTTGAGCTAATACATCAACGTAAGAAAAAAATTAACTAAAATCCTCATAGCCGTGCACGTTTCCCCCTTCACCCTCTGGAACCAAACAGCTGGACTTCAGCGAGCCCTGCAAACTAGGAGCTCAGCTCGGGGGCTGAAGGAGGGGGGACCCAACGAGGCAAAGCCTGGAGGAGAGATAACCTGAGAGCAGACAGCTCTGCAGCGGAGGATAAAGGGCACCTTGCTTAACGCACGACTTCTGGCATGTAACTCTTGTCAAAGCCTTCGGCAAACATGATTATTTAAGATTATGGGTGAAGAAACCTGCCTTTCGCCACTTAGCAAGGACTGAAGGATAAACTGTCGAGCAGCGGCTTACCGCACATGCGGCGTAGATAGATGTCTGCAGATGCTCACTCTTTAATCTGGCCCCCCTACTGAAACAGGCTCTCCCAAGTAGCTGGGGGTCAGCTCGGTATTTGCTAACAGCAACACGCTTATCAGTTACGGATTTAAGTCTTGAAAGACTTGAACAAACCTTACATAAGACTTTTACTGCTGAATTCATGTCTACTAGAAGCTTACCCCAATACTGTACCAATACACTCGCACCAGGTTAGCCTTGCTCCCTGCTCCAGCAGAAGTCTCACGCGTTTCACTCCCCAGACGGCCAGAATCAGACCACAGTTATTTAAATGGCTTAACACTGCAAAATCAGCGCTGTGCAACTGGCATCAAGAAGTTCCCCGTTTAGCTCAACAATAATAATCAAACTTCCACAGCTTACAAAGGAAATTTGGGTTATATGTTCCAAGCAATAGCGTTTCTCTTGGAAAATTACTCCAGTTTTAAGGTATCTTATTAGCCGGGAAACATCCTTGCCGCATTTGTAGAGAGGCCCTGAGAATCGGGCTCTCTGCAGCAGAACTGAAGCTCCTGGTGACCCGTTTTGAGTTCTGGCTAGGCTCAGCTGTATGGCTGGGGCAGTTTCACCCTAGAAATTTTCACCTGGGGCTTCCAGCCACCAATTCCACCCCGCAGCCTTTTGCAATGGTCAGGTGCCGAGTGCTTTGCTTAGAAACCTGAAGGCTTACTGGCTGCCTGAAATGCTCAATGAGTGGAAGCGTCTAAATACGGGTTCTGAAGAAGATGAGTCTCCTGCCATTGGGCCTGCCCAACCTACTGGGTCTCTACTGGATTTATCAGTAGTCGGGGGTGCACCCCAGCACCTGCCCCGTGCTGGACGGCTGCAGGACTTGGAGCTTCTCCCTGCTATGTGAATGCTCCTGCCTCTCTCCAAAAAAAAGAAAAAGGATGGTTAACATCCCAAGGGAATTCCCTCCTGAGCAGCGTGGCAGGAGGCTGGAGCAACACACAGAAAGGGAGAAAGGGAAGGAAGGCTTCTCCTTGTCCGACTAGCAGAGGTGAAGCCTATCCATGCCAACTGGTGTTTATTACTTTAAGCTGAGAGTATACTTTGTTCGTAATACAACCAGCCCAGAAGAAGAGATATAACTTTACTAAGGGGAGCTTTATTTCACTCTAAACACTCATGAGGTTGTTTTTAAGAGTCCTTGCTAGCCCAGCTCAGCACCATCGCCTGATAGTCGAGCGCAAATCACAAAGTCGGAAATGTTCTTTACCTTTAAATGCCTCTGTAGCCCCTGGTGCATGGTTCTTATCTGGGTGAAATTTTAGTGCAAGTTTCCGGTAAGCCTTTTTCAGGTCCTCATCAGAAGCTTCTCTGTTTACTCCCAGAATTTCATAGTAATCTTTGCATTGCTTTACCCTGCCAGCAGAGAGAAGAGAACATACGGATGGTTAGTTTCAGCTGTGAAAGCCACTTTGCACTGAATACATCAACTCTGCACCATCTCACGCATCGCAGTTTCGATCGATGTTGTTCAGTGAACTCTGGTTTACTCAGCTCTGATGCCTCAGAGGGTGACCCAGTTTTTTTCACAGACTCATTCCCGCTGCGCCTGCATTACTCGCACACAAACACCCTCACAGAACAAGTCAAACCAGTAGAGGTAGAAGGGCCTCTCCTCAGGCGACGATATCAACCGCTCAAGAATGCGACTGGCAAATATGCTTCAGATTCATCACGCTCGTGTTTTGGAGGCTATTTGGGAGGGACTACAGACAGCAGGCCGGGATCTGAAGGATAGCTGGGCTATTGGCTCCCTCCGCCTTCTCTTCAGACTCAGTTAATTCACAGACCTAAAAATAACATCAGCTGAATTCTGGAGGAAGAAAAAGGGAGCTGCCCAGGCCTGGGTGCACAGCCCAGTTCGTTCTGGGTACACTCACAGCCCAGCGATGGTTTCTCCTTCTCACATGACTTTGAGGAGACAGAATACAGCAGGCTGGCTTTTTGGAGAAATGGATGATGTAACAAGCATCCCCGTAAGTCCACTAGTCAGAGCAGTTCTTGCGCAATTCCGACCATGCCCACAACCTTAAACAAAGTTGACCAAGTGACTGTGCCTGCAGTTCAGTCCTTCAACTCCCAGTATTTGCAAATGGTAGAAAGGAATAAAGAACAGCTTGAAGCAGGGTCGGGAGAACAGGTGACTGGATAAACATGTCCTGGGACTTCCCAGCAGAAGCTTTAGAGGCGTATCGCGCTAACAGAGTGCAGCGTCCTGCGGTGGATTTCTACTTTATCGGGCTCTAAGAGAGACCATGAGCAGCATATTATCAGGAGAGAGGAAGAAGGATGTGCCCCGTCACTTGCTACTAGCGCAAAGCTTAGAGCAGGAAGGCTGCCTACTGCAAGCTAGGAGCCATGACTTCTACCTACAGGATCTCAGGGCCACACGGGACTTTTTCCCAATATTACTGAGTAACACTAAAGCAAACATTCATGTGAAGTCCATGAGATGGATGCATCCAAAATGCCTCTTTGCAGCTCAGCCTGGAAAAGGCCTACAGTTCTAGCCCTCGTACATGCGTTTGCGGGAGAGATCTCGCCCCTCATAGACCCAAGATCTGAGCTGCCTCCCAGGGCTGCCGTAGCTATAAATTCTCCTAGATACCTTTTTAAACACCTAGTGAATTAAAAACCACCCGATACGGTTCAAAGCTGACTGGATCTCCTTACATGGCACAGAACATGAACTGTCGTCCAACTCTATCTACTCTTTCTGCCCTCCTCCTTCATGTTCCACCATTGCATCTTTAAAACATTGCGAAAAACAGACCGGTATCGCACGATAAACGCAAACCGCGAGTTGAAGCCACGGAGAGCTGCGCGCACACCTCTTCACTGCATCCACCTGGTCCTGAGTGTAGCCCTTGGGGGCCTCCCCACCAGCCTCTCCATTGGCCGAGGGGAAGTCTCCGCTCATTTTCTTGAACTGGGGATTTGTGGACTCCCTGGATTGGGACTGGCCATTGGCTGATTGCTCGTTCTTGTTGAGTGATTCAAGCAGAACTGAAATGAGAAAAAGATGAAAAGAAAAAAAAAAAGAAGTTAAGAGACCACCAAGCTCAATCTGCCCTTCCCACTCTCCCATAAAGAGACCCCTCTTCATTTCTGCCACCGCCCTAAGACCCCCACCCTTCATCAGAAAGACCCTCACCTTTTCACCCAACCCTTGAGCTCCTGCTACTTCTTGCCCACATGTGAGGGCTGCTGCTGAAGAAATTGCCTGCTTCTCCCAACGCACGCAACCTTCACCAAAACCCCAGGCCTACCCAGCCGGACAGTCCGGGAGCCGCAGCGGATCACCAAAGCGGTGCATCCTTGTCCTCTCCATTTTTGCCCCCGTCTCTCCTTAATGGCGGAGTATTTCCCTGTTTGTTCTCTAGCATATTCATCTCCTGCCTTTGAGAGTCTACTCTGCTGGGTAAATTATGTGACGACGCCATATCTTTAGAGAGCTTAGAAAATAATACCGTGGGATGCCAGTCACGGGGGGACACTCCCCTTTTGGAGACAAGAGAGCTGCAGCACTGATTGCTGGCAGCGCGACAGGACCCGTAACACGTGAGTCAGAAGGGCGCTTTGTTCTCTTGCGCTGCCTTACCTACGCGTGCTATGTGCGAAGCAGCAGCTGTGAAAACCATCTTCTCCCTCAGTTAAGGAATATGAATTGCATAAATTCAGTTTCCCTTCCCTTAAGTGGGGTGCGCGTGCGTTATCGGGTGAACTGCTGCAGACTACTGCCTCCTCCTCGCAAGGCTCAGGCGCTGTCCTCCGTCCTTTTCAGCCAAGAGGGGACAAACATTCAGGCTTGGCCTAACGGCGCAGGTGACACCGCTGTGAAACCAAGTGAGACTCCTCCAAGCACAGAAGCGCCTTTCCGTCATGCACTTCCCTGGCAGCCGGAGAGCGCCATCTTTTTAAACTACTTTTGTCTTTTTTTAACCAGACATCAGACCGATCTCTTTGTGCCTGTAGTTTCTGAAGTTTATACATTGCATTAAAGAGAACAGGCACACGTAACACGACTGAGACCAGCCGACGTTATTTACAAAGGCATCAGTAACTTGACGAGCTTGCAGTCCTTTATCCAGAGCCTAGAACCGAGAAGGACGTTTCATCTCCTCCCGCAGATTGCACGTTACAGACCTTGCACTATGGGGGTATCACGTTCTTTATGCAAGCGCAAACAACGCTTGCAGGCCAAGAGACAGGCCAAGATATCCTATCTGCCCCGCAGAGCTTGTAGGGGCAAGAAAAAACCGCTCGGTAATCCAACAGCCAATACAGGCAATTGTTACAGGACGAAGGATAAAAATGACAGCAGGCTAACGAGCAGTAACTCACTGGATGACGAGCTTTTGAGCTTGGGGGCTTCACAGACTTCGGCTTTCAGAAAAAGAAATCCTTCCCTTGCTCACATTTACACCACTAGAGCCTTCACAAAATTATAGTAATTGTTTTTATTCCTTCCAATCCTGGAGCAAACCGCCAGGCACTTTTAAACCTCATCTCGTGAGGCTGTCCCTCCAGCCACCCCACTCTTGCTGTTCTGGGCTGAGTTTCCTACAGCTTGTGCCAAGAGATGTTTTTGGTAGCGTAGCTCCCAAACCCAACCACAGAAGTCCGCGTACGGCCACAGCTCAGTCCTGTTTTGCTCTACAGCCCCAGCGCTATTGTTTCTGCATCCCAAAGCCACGCTGGTCCCCCGTGCAGTCACAGCACAGCGCAAATTCATAAACTAGAAGCAGAGACTGCTGAATTAGTTTCCAGTTCTGTCAACTCAGCTCCCCACCAAGCACGTGCTACGGATCACTTTTCCTCGCTTATTAGCCAACGTTTGTTCAACTTCCATTGTTAATTTTTCCGAAACTCCCGCTTAAAGGCGACCAGCGGGACTTTGTCTACACCAGCGTGCCCAGCTGCGTTTGCCCAGGAGAAGCTTTTTGCCAAAATCCCCTTGCAGAACCCTTTGCTGAACCTGTGACGACACCCGTAAGACCCAGCCAGGGTCAGAGTCTGAAGCGCTGGCTGTGCAACGTCCACGTCGCTGATCGTTGCCAAACCCAGCGTAGCTCATGAGAAAGAGAAGAGATTTCCCAGGGGCACACAGGCTACGTAAAGACTCAACGACCACTGCGTAACCGCGGGATCTTTGGCAACATTTCCCAACTGCGGACCCAAAGCGCACGGGTGAGCAACCAGCAGGACATCAAGCTCTGGCCACAAACGAGCACGCTGTACTTAACGTTAACCCGCCCCGCTTTGCCCTGCTTTCCTCCCCTGTGCTCCAGTTCTCTAACAGTACGTATCCCACCTTTTATTCTGGCTGGCCCAGGCCACAGGATTAGGGCAAAACATGACCGCTTTACGTTGCAAACTGGTGCTTGCCGTCATCCAGATCTACTTTTCTGGTGCACGCCCTAGCAGAGCTCCTCAGGAAGAGCAATCCTTGTCAGGGTGGGCCTTTCTGTGTGCTATGCCACGCTCTTCACTCCAAAAGTCACTTTTCCTACCCAGTAATTTCACAAAAGTATATCTGAACGGGGAGGAAAACCACACCACGCGTACGACGGGCTGCTATACTGTGTCTGAGGGAACAGGAAGAGGCCTCGTGCAACCAAAGCAAGAATTACAGGAAGCCTTGGGCTCTCTGCAGGACAGACAAGCTGCAAAACACAGCCGAAAAATCAAAACTCAGATAAGGTCAAAGGAAAAAATAGGGGGGGAAAAAAAAAAATCTACAGCTCCTTGCATAAATTTTTGCAATATAAGAACACACAGAGAAAGAATTGTGCTTGGCTGCTTCTACAAACCACTTCCCAGTTGCTTTTGTGACATGTTAATTACATACATCGTAAAGCTTCCAGGAAATGAGATCGTTCCTCAAAACCCATAAAACCGGCAGGTCTTCAAGAAGGAAGATTGTTTCTTACGCGTGCTGAAACGAGCCGCAGCAGCTGAGCTGTGGCAATCAAAGGGGGTGTACGAAACGAAAAGCAACGCTTGCTGAGCGGAGCAGCCAGGGGAAACAAGCACGCTCGAGCATGTAAGCTCAAACGAGGTCTGTCTGCCCGCCCGCAAACCATGTGAAACCACTGCCCGCTGGCCTGTGGTGCTCGAGGAGGGGAGTCTGCAGCCGTGCCCAGGGCCGGGGCGGCTGCACCTCTGTGGGAGGGACGGAGCTGCAGGACAGGCCAAACGCCAGGAGAGGAGGAGAGGAGAGGGGAGAGGGAGAGGCAAGGCAGAAGGAGATGAAGAAGGAGATAAGATGAAGAAGGAGATGAAGAAAAGAGAGAGAGGAGGAGGAGAGGAAAGAAGAGTAAAGGAGGAGAAGGAGGAGGAGGAGGAGAGAAAGAGGAGAGAAGGAGGAGGACAAGGGGAAGGAGAAGGAGAGGAGGAGAGAAGGAGATGGAGAAAAGAGGGAGAGGAGGAGGAGAGGAAAGAAGAGTAAAGGAGAAGGAGAGAAGGAGGAGGAGAGAAAGAGAGGAGGAGGAGAGAAGGAGGAGGAGAGGAGGAGGAGGAGGAGAGAAGGAGGAGGAGGGGAAGGAGAAGGAGAGGAGAAGAGAAGGAGATGGAGAAAAGAGGGAGAGGAGGAGGAGAGGAAAGAAGAGTAAAGGAGAAGGAGAAAAAGAGAGGAGGAAGAGAAGGAGAGAAAGAGAGGGAGAAAAGAGGGAAAGGAGGAGGGAAGAAAAGAAGAGTAAAAGAAGGAGAGAAGGAGGAGAGAAAGGGAGAAAAGAGGGAGAGGAGGAGGAGAGGAACGAAGAGTAAAGGAGAAGGAGGAGAGAAAGGGATGGAGAGAAGAGGGAGAGAAGAGAGGAAAGAAGAAGAGTAAAGGAGAGAAGGAGGAGGAGGAGAGCAGGGGAGGAGGAGGAGAGGCGCTT